CGTTGCCAGCTTCACTCTCTCTTTCGATGCTCTGCTGCCGGCCTGTCGGTGGCTTGCGAGCCAGGCGAAACTTGCAGTTCCGGCTCCCTGTGTGATGCGCACCATGGCACACGATGCAGACCGGCGTGCACGTAGGTGGCTCTCCTTCTGGCGGGGCAGGATGGTCCTTCCCGCAACGGTGACATAGGTTGCTCTTCGGACGATAGCAAACGTCCGCTCGATGTCCAACTCGTCTGCAGTTGTAGCAGGTCTCGACTAAATTTCTGTACGGGATCACAGCGTACAGACAGTTCCAGTAAGTAATCTGCCGGGGTATGCGTTTTCCCCCGAAAGTAATCTGAATTGCCTTTGACTTTCCCAGAGGTCTCGCGTCCAGAATGTCTATGCCTTCATTCTTCTTCAGGAATCCCGCCCGAACTTCTTCCACTGCGCATCCATCATAAGCATTATAAATCACTCCCCGCACGGAGTTCTCCAACGGCGCCACGAACGCCGAAACCGGCAGGTCACGATCACCCAGCTTGAGCGTCTTCACAGTCGCATATGCCCCACTGCGATTTATGCACGGTGTGCTCACCGTCAACGTGTTTGTGCCATTTACCCGCACAATGTCTTCTTCCGCGGCAATCGCACTCGTTAGACGCGCTGCTGCTCTCAGTGCACATCCGAGTTCTCTCGCTGTCACAACACTCAAGTCCCAGTTCTGGGGCCTGTACACAATCTTGAAATCCGTGGCTGGCAACTTGAGAAACGGTCCGCGTTTCTTCCATACCGGCGCTTTCCCCCGCTTGACTTGCTGCGCTCCGTGCGTCTTGCGCCCGTCGCTGCCGGCCTGCGTCTCGCAAGGCTTACTCTTGGCGTTGTCGCCATGCCGAGTCTTCTTAAATCAGTCCTGTGCCTTCAGCACTGGAGCCTACTCTCCCGCTTCAAAATCTTCGGGTGTTATAGTCTCCCCTTCGACGTAGTACTCCATCTTCAGACCAACAAGACCCACGGTCACCGGGCGTAAGTCAGACGCCGGGCGACGCGGCCCAGGCCAGGCTTGGCCTAGGAGATAGGCCTAGCCTTGCCACCGCGGGGTTGATAGGAAAATCTCGGAAACTCCAAAAACGGGGACAAACTTGCCTAAACGAGTGGTGTCCGTAGGTAAAGGGCAACCTCCTGCAGACGAGCCCACTGACAGCAAGTCCAGAAAAAAGCGCGTCCGCCGATAGTCGGTCACCGGGCCGGAGCTCATGTGAAACACGTACGCACAGCGTCTCACTCCAGCCGCCTCTCTCAGAGTGCCTCCAAGTTCTACACTCTGAAGGGCAAAGTACGCGTGGCAGATGAGAACGCGCACCGCCGAGCGCTCACTGCGCCATCTTGCTGGTAATGCTGAAAACACGATAGTGCTTCCCCCTTACCCCCCGAGATGCACATCACCAGCGGTAAGTGGTAGATGCAAAATGTAAATAGCTTGCCGTTTGAGCGTCAAAAAACCTGCTCCACGGTGGCTCAGTGGTCGCGGCTCAGAGGGTCGACGTTCGATTACGCTATATATATATATATATATATATATATATATATATATATATATATATATATATATATATATATATATATATATAAGATGAGTGGCAGCAACGCCCACGCCAACGCCAGCGGCAAAATCCAAAATCCAGCAGAGAGTGCCCATATAATTGCTATCACAATAAAAGCAGCCCGCGCTCGGCACCCAGCTCGTCGCGATGCGCCAACGCACGCTCATTTTTCACGCGTACTCTGCCCCACGCATGGGGGGGGGGGGGGGGGGGTAGGTGCTTGTGAACTTGCACTTGTCCTTCGGCGGGGACAATCGTGTACATTGGCCTTTCACCGGAATGATTGCATTAGTTGCCTATGCCACAAAGGCTAACTTCACTCGCTGGTCAGGCCCCGTTTGCGAAACGAGCGCGCTTTTCAAACACAGCGAAGTAACATCTGGGACACTCGTTAGTTCGCGCTCATATCTGTGCCTGTGATTACGTTTTGTGCGTCGTTTTTGTTTAAACAGCGCGGTAAGCGTCAAGTTGTAAACGTTGTTGGTTAGCTCTCGTTCTGTGTGTGTTGTTTCCGTGCGTCATTTGTGCGTGAGCAGCGCGTTGCACGTTCCGATCTGCTTATTTCTACTTTACTAGCATTATTTCTACTTTATTGCTATCGCATTCATTGTTTTACCCTTGCGGAGAAAGTGTGACTTTTTTCTTGCGATTAATTTAAACAACATGGTAAACGGGCTACGAATCAGCTTTTCAACAGTTCGCAAATAAGTGTAGAGGTAGTTCGGCGATGCTGTAGTGTGAATTAGCTCATAGAGGGGCAGCACTGTTAGGTCACCGTTTGCGCTGTGCGCGAACGCCCCTAAGAAGGCTGTCCCAAGCACACGGGAAAAGACGTAGTAAGTCACCTTACAGAGGAACTAAAGAGAGTTAATTTTTTGTTGTATTGGTTAATTACAATTTCAGACTGCCGAAAGCGTACCACGTGGAAACGCCTGGTAAGCGATAGAACACGCGAAAACAACGAACAAGTGTCGACGCTACCGCAATGTACGCCACACCTGGTCGGAGTGTTATCATAGAGGCAGGTACCTTATGAGAGTGGAATTGGTGTGGCAAAAAGAAATTCCGGAAAGGAAGGCACTGGCGGTGGTAGAACCTTCACAAAGCTGCACAGGATACTTGTGGTGTGATAGAATCACCACAATCTGGTCGATTTTTGGCGTTACCTCAGTTAGACTGCAGTCGAAAGGCGAAGGAATTCCTTATTTAGCAACTTATACGAGCTTTCCATGCGCCTTAAATGATTAGGATGCGGCAAGCTTCCGGAGAGTCGGTGCTGACCTTACTACGCGTGGACGTCGCTGCTATAGAGTGGGAAAGTTGAAAATGTCAGCCCGTCCTTTCATTACCGATCACATCACCGCTTCCTAGTTTAGTAGGCGTAACTAAATATATTATGTGCTTTTCTTAGCATTTTCTACCGCGTATTCCAAGTCCACGCTGCTGATTTTATGGCGCACTGACTGAGGCAATATACCTTACCTGATCCACCAAGAAAGAAAATGGAATGTTAGCGGCGTCAACGCGAGTCATTAAAAAACCATCACGTGATTACGACACCATATGAGGTCAACAAGACCTCAGCTTAGTAACGTAGCGTGTTGGTCGTGATGATGTCATATTGTACATTTTTAGCGCACACGTTGTTGCAAGTTCACGCTTGTGTGTGCCACGTCTTTCTTTGTCCGTGTTTTTTCATGCGCTAAAAAAACTACAGTAGGACTTCAGCGACAGGCAAAATTTATGAAATCATCAAGACGTCACATTACTTGACGTCACATAATGACGTCAGCACGCTAAATTGTCGCTTTGTAAAGAATAGGTCGATCACGGAGGCTATGCAAAACCTGCAGGTGAGTTGTCTACTATCCCGGAGGCCGTGCAGAACCACGCTACAGGCACAGAGAGCGTCAAGGGGGAAGGAAAATTAACATGTCGAATAAGAAGGTTTTCGTCTTCGGGTTATCTTAGGCGTATGCGATAGGGGACTCTGGGAGTTTATTCCTCTGCATCGTGTGCATAAATAAAAGAAAGGAATGAATGTGCTTTGGGGACAAAAAGAAAGACAGGGAAATTACATTATTTCCCGTCAAAAAGGACCATGTATAGATACTCCCTCTGTACTCGTCTTCTTGGCAATTATAGTTCCTGCATCCGACTTCAGACACATCGACACACGTGTTCTGCGAGCAAAGATGAAGTTAATAAAATCACAGCATATCCACGGAATGAATGATGATGAGTGGGATAAAGCGTTCATCAATTTGTCCGTGCTTCCGGCCGTGTGTCTGTGCGTTCGTGCGCATGTTCATGCGTTCGTCCGCACGTCCACGCATCAGTCGATACATACGTGCGTCGGTTCGTGCGTCTATTCATGCGTGCATCCGTGCGTCCGTCCTTGTGTCTGTCTGTCTGTCCATCTGCTTGCCTGTCTGTCCATTCGTGCGTCCATTCGTCCATCTAGTGAACACTTCAAGTACCGCCATATCGCTTCTTTTTATCATATATTCATCATATACCGCCATCCAGCGGACAATCCAAGGACTAAACGAGAGCATGTACCACATTTCTGTTGTAAGCGCTTTGTTAACATCAAGAGCGTGATAATGACGCCGTGCTACGTTTTTCGTAACATGTGGACATGCTGATATGTGCCCGAGGGCGGGTATGCGCCACAGGTTGCGCACTACGACAACGGGGGACGCACAAGCCACGTCATAAGGAGCTTCGCCTCTAAAAGGAAGAGGATAAAGAGAGTGCATACCGCTTCACGATGATGATAGTTTTCTGTACGCTCCGTGGCAACTACTCACTCTCAGTTTAAAGAGCTCTATTGTCAAAGAAATTACACCATCACCCGGTAAAGGAAACAACGTGTAGATGCGAAGCAACGGGCGCTAACACTACCACTGACGGCGTCGTTGACGCTGGCAATCATCGCAACGTTGCGCAGGAGAGAAACCTGTGGAGTCGCAAAGCACGCAGTTATGGACCAGCGTTTCCCACTGAAACGTGCCAATCGCTGCTAATTGGTGATGAGAGAGAGAAGACCGTAATGAGACACAGAGGCCGCAGTCCGCTTTTAGATAACGCGCACGCTGCGAATCTTATTGTTCAACTACGCACAGGAGAAATCTTCCACCAGTACTACCTTGGAGGTTAGAATACTGTGGCTATATATGCGGGGTAGTCAGTGAACGCTTGTGCAGCGCGAGCAGTCTGTTTTTTCAATCAAGAAACACGCCAGCAGATGGTGCCCACGTCGGCGTTGCGAGGCGAGAGAGCAGGGGATCATATGAGAAAAAGAGAGAGAGAGGGAGGAGGGGACGCACATGCGCAGTGGAGCGCAGATGCCACCGGATGAAGCTCGCTCATAAGATGCTTCGCATATGAAAGAGAAATGCGCCGAGCACTCACGTTTGATCTGGAAGTTGCCGAAGGGGTAGATCCAGACAGGACCACCGTGTTTGTGGACGCCGTACATGCCCCCGATCAAAGTTCTGTGCACGAACTGTGCAAGGCAAGAATCAAGGAAGATGACATAGAGGCTAAGGTAAATTGAAAAGGTCATCATATTCCTGGTTGTACGTAAAGTACGAAAATGCATGCTAACAGTACCCAGCTCGTTTATTGCTATATTGTAGACGTGGCTCGAGAAGCCAACACTATTATTGTTCTTGTTTTCCTGAGAAATCCCCTCACGTACTCAAGAAGACTCAAATAATTTTTGTTATGTTTGCGAAACTATTCGAAAACTAGTATAATCAGGACTACCCCAACATAGAAGTGGGCTTCTCGTGAGGTCATTCGCGGCCGAAGTCACAAAACTTCTCTTTCGTAAGCGCACTTTCCGACTGGTCGGCCGAGTACGCTACTAATAAGCCCACATTGGGACCGGCAGCGATATTCCCATGTGAGAAATATTAGCGTAGTACTTTCTAGGAGCATGGGCTACGGGTTTCGCTATCGTCGTATTATTGGGAAATGCGCTGTTTTGTACGTGCACGCGTATCTTTTCCAGGTAAGTCATCCGCTTGTAACCAAATTGACCTATTTTGTGCACTCAGTTATTAGTGATACCTTGCGACCGGAGAAGCTCAGCAAGTGCGGTCGCAAGTTTAACTGCGGCGGAAGTCACCATCGAACTAAAATCGCTGATTGAGTCTGGGCTGATTAATTTTAGATTTTTGTCCCCACACCGCGCAACCAGTTAACGGGCTTCACGTATCACTTATGACTCCAAATACGGGCCGTTCTCGAAAGCAGAGCAGCTGCTTCACTTCAGCTACTATACAGGTACCGACTATCACAAATGCCGGTCAGTGTTCGCTAATTTATGCGCGATTTCGGCTGCCACGCAGACAAATTTCAGGTCGTGGAGGAGATTCTTGATATGTTGTGTTTGATAATTGTTTGCTTCACCTAAATGATGATAAATACTGGTCGTGCGCTGTTGTAATGTCAACATTGTCTTCTGTGAGTCTCATCCCAATTATCAAGAAGTCTACAAGATTTCAGAATAGAATTGAAGATATGCCTATTTAACGAGCAAATCAGGCCATAAAAAGTAAGAGAAGCTGGTTTTGAGCTGAATGACAAGGCTCTAACCCCTTGTATTTTAGTCGGCATGGTTTACGTCTATATGAAAGTTTTGTACTACTACTACTACTACTCGGCTTGGGTTAGTTTGCCCACGCGCCCTATAATGCATCAGTAGAATATTTCCAGTGATGTAACACAGCAATCATTACAATAGGTACACTACATGAATCGGTACAGTTGGCACAAATAATATAAACAAAATTTACTGAAGAGAAACGATAAAGAATATGGCACATGATCTGTGAACCATGTTTCTTGTTTCCGTCTATTTATAACGTTACAATGCTTGTTATATTGTTATATTTCAGGACCTCTGACGCGTCGGTAAAGCTACAGATTGAACTGGCTCACCTCTGGTGGCTTATAGTCGTCCTTTGTCAAATCATCGATGTTGTGGGCTTTCCTCCATGCGATGGACTGCAAAAAAAAAAAAAAAACTCAAGCTCTCAAGTCGTATCATTCAATCAAGGCGTTTTCCTCGCCAGCAGAGCCTACAACACTGAACGTCATGCCGTTGCGGTTAGCAATAGAGTACTCACCTTTTTCATCATCTCCTTAGCTTGCTGGATGTCAAAGTTTCGGGCTGTTGTCGAAGATCAGGTCGGTCATGAAAGAAAAAAAAGAACATGGTTGCTAAACCTCATACCCAACTCTCATTAGTCGATGCGTGGATAGCGCACGCACACAACTGCCGCGCATCTCAAGCGCTTTCTCTCGACTCTCTGAAGCCCTAGCCCCACGTACGCGTTCCGACGCGTCGGGGGCGCTGCAAGCGCGCGATGATGTAGGACGTGCTGCGCTTCGGCTCCGCTGATTTTCAGCTGGAACCACGGGCAACTTCACAGTACCCCGTCAAGACCAACATCAATCGTTTCGGCAACTCACAGGCAACACGTGGATACCAGTGTCATCCAGGTGGGCCCGTTTTTGACAACTTTACGGCCGATCATCACCCGACCACGTTGGCGACGCCGTTAGGCCAAACGGCGACGCCAACGCCCGGCGGCGTGGGACCGGCTTTCCGAGGCAACATGGACGCTACTCTCATGCAGCGTGGATACGACCCGCATGCCATGACGTGGGAAACGATTACGATTTCCGAAACGCCAAACTCTGCTTCTTCACCGAGGTTTCGGAGCCAAGCTCTCAACGACGCGGTGGAACGCCGCTCGCAAGCCAACGCCAAGAAGGCGGCGTCCGCCGCTGCTTCGGCATCCGGCACGCCAGCTGACAAGACGCAGCCTCCCGCTTCGCGCGCTGTCGTACGCAAGGGCAAGTTTCTCACCAAATGGAAGCCTCGCCCGTTTCCGAAACCGAGTCCGGACGACTATGTAATAGTCGTAAAGCCACGAGAGTGCATCTCATTGCATGATGCTTTCTCAGAGAACTGGTACGGGACTGCGTTTAAGGCATACCTCGGGCCCAAGCGAGCTGAGACGCTGACAGTTATTCCATCGAGAGAGCAAAATTTGATCATGATTTACACCCCGGACCCTGACACGGCGGACAAAATGATCGGGGACTTCGCGGTAAACATCGAGCACAGGCAGGTTCTGCTCAACGGGTACCTGCGACAAGATGGTAGCAATGTCTGCCACGGAGTTATCGTAGTCCGCAACACAGATACGACGGAGACGCTCCGAGAGAGCGTACGCTGGAGGTCAGGCACCATCGTCGAGGTGCGTAAAATTGGCACATCGAACAAGGCGCGTGTAACCTTCGCCGGCAAGGAGAAGCCACGCTTTGTTCACTACGACGCAATGCTGATCCCCGTCAAACCCTACTACCGGACGATCCCGGCCTGCGGCAAGTGCGGTGTCGTCGGCCATCGGATGGACACTTGTCCCAACCCACGACCGGATACGTGTGGCCTGTGTGGACAGCAGGTTCCGCTTGTGGAGGAGGGGGTGCGGGCCCCTCATGAATGTGTACCCGTATGTTCTGTGTGCGGTGGAGCACACGCCACAAACTCTCGAGCATGTACGGCCAAGTACCGTAATTCCAAGGTGGCCGCACAACAGGGCGGAAAGTCCAAAAGGGCGTCCAAGAAACGACGCAAAGATCAGACTCCCAGTGAGCCACCACGCCGGAAAGTCGCCAAGACAGACAAGCCCGCTTCCCCTACTGGAGGAACCGAAAAGCAGCCGACGGCGCAACCATGCGGCGAAGCCGGGCCATGGGCCAACGCCGTCAAAAACGGAAAGCAGGTGGGTGGTACGGGTACAGCTGCCTCCTCATCCCCCCCTATCATCCCCTCTTCATCGCGTAACGCCGACCAAAATATTATTGCCAAACTTCAGGCAGAAATCGAAGCGTTACAAAAAAGACTAGCGGAAGCCGAGGCCAAACAGACCCAACTAGTCTCCCCTCCTCCTCCCCCCGCAGTAGAGGTAATGGAGAGTGAGACCGGGGCGGGGGCGGCAGACGCGGTTGCCGCACTCGAGGCTCGTGTGAACACCCTTGAGGTCCGTATGGACAGCCGTATAACTGTCCTCGAAACCCAAATCTCAGCGGCTGTAAATGCCGCCATTGCTAAAATGACAGAAACCATCCCTACCCTGAAAGCCCAACAAGTTGCGCGTTTCACCAAACGAGCCGGCCCAATTAAGGACGTGTCCGGCCGGTACCTTAAAACGCTTCGACGACAGATCGAATTTGAGGATGATGACAGCTGCTCCGCCTCCGGAATTGAGGACACCCCCCTCCCCGCGAGTGCTGGCTCGGGAGCACCGCCACTGCAATCGCTCGTTAACTCCACTGACCATGGCGGGCACCCTTAGAATTCGGAAGTCCCCACGATCTAATACGGCCACTCCCATCCAAACCACCCAGTGGAATTGTCGGGGCTTTAAGGCTCACACTAAGCACGCCAACCTCCGGCTTTTCCTCGCAGCATTTCAAAACCTTCCTGCTGTGGTAGCCCTCCAGGAGCCAGGGAGTGCTGCCACACTCACAAACTATACTACGTTTCAGCAGGACCCTTTATCTTGCATCTGCGTGCACAAAAATTATACGGCCAACCTAGTTGATCTCGATCTTAAGCCAGCTTTCTCGTACGTGATGGTGACACTCCTTCCGCTGCGTAAACAGGATCCGCCACTGCACGTGCTAAACATTTATTGCTCACCGAAACTAAGCAACATTACATTCGCAGACCTTTTTAGCCGCGCTTTAAAGGCTGCGGGCAGGAACCCTCTGGTGATTGTGGGTGAATTTAATGCCCCCAGCACACTCTGGGGGTATGCACGTGAAGAGAAACGTGGACGTAAATTGGCGGAACTTATGTCCACGCTGGGCCTAACTCTTCACACCGACCCTGCATATCCAACTCGCGTGGGTAACTCCGTGACCCGGGACACATGTCCGGACCTTACCCTCACAAAAAACATTCAGTATGCGGATTGGGTCAACACTGAAGAGACCCTCGGCAGCGACCACTGCATACTCAACACCACCATTCGCACATACCCTTTGGCAAGACCCTACAGAGAGGCGAAATTACCCGATTACACGAAGTTTCGGCAAATATACGCCAATTCGACACCCATTGAAGAGCAAGGATACCATGCTTGGTCCCAGCAACTGGTTTCCTCATTACGCTCCACAGAAACGCAAATTAAACTCTCCGAGGCGACTCCGGCGGTGGATAACCATCTCCTTCACCTCTGGGAGGCCCGGCGCAGCCTCGTCCGCCGATGGCGCCGGCAAAAACACAACCGAAAGCTCAAAATTCGCATCGCTGAGCTCACCCAGCGAGCAGCAGAGTACGCGGCCCAGCTCGCTGACTCTAACTGGGTGGACCGCTGCAACACGGCCGCTCGACAAATGTCCAGCCGGAGTACCTGGCGCCTCTTCCGCGCCTTGATTGATCCGACCCAAACTCGAACAGAGACACAAAAGCATCTGCAACGAGCATTTCACAGCTTCGACGGAGACACAGCCAAATTGGCATGTAAACTCCGAGACCAATATCTATGCACTCAGCAGGACTCCCAAGAGCCGGCGTACTCGTATGCAGGTACCGAGAACGCGGAGCTGGATGAACTGTTACAGTTACACGACCTGAAGGCAGCCCTAGCAAAAATGAGGCGAGGAACGGCGCCGGGAAGGAATAAAATTACCGTGAAATTACTTGCCAATCTTCCTGACTCGGCCTACACCATGCTCCTTGCCTACATCAATTCCATTTGGATCGGGAAAACAAGCCTACCAATTGAGTGGAAGACCGCCCTGGTCACCTTCATACCCAAAGCGGGCAAAGCAATTAACGCGGACAACCTCCGCCCCATCTCCCTTACTTCTTGTGTGGGAAAATTAATGGAGACGATGGTGCGCGACAGGTTGTCCGCGTTCCTGGAGAGCAAAAATGCATTTGCAGACACCATGTTCGGGTTCCGCCCACACCGGTCCGCGCAAGATGTCTTGCTTCAGCTCGACCATGAGATCCTCAATCCAGTCGAGTATCCCCTGAATGACAAAGTTGTGCTCGTTTTGGATCTGAAGGGGGCCTTTGATAACGTGACCCACGAAATTATTCTAACACATCTCTCACAGGTGGATTGCGGCCAAAACACTTTCAACTATATTAAACAATTCCTCACTGACCGACAATCATACATTCGGATTCAGGACATTGAACACGGCCCTTACCGATTAGGCACGAGAGGGACTCCGCAGGGAGCGGTCCTCTCGCCCCTCCTATTCAATGTGGCAATGATGAGACTCCCCGCTCAGCTGGCGAAAGTCGAAGGCATACAGCATGCGCTGTACGCCGACGACATCACCATATGGGCGTCACACGGCTCGGCAGGAGACATGGAGGCAAGCCTGCAGCAAGCGGCGGACATCGTGGATGACTATGCCCGTCGCTGCGGCCTTCAGTGCTCCCCGTCCAAATCGGAATTCGTGCACATACGCCCCTCACCAAAGTGCACCGCAAAGATCGACCTCTCCCTTCACAGTGGACCAATACCCGAACGCGATGAGATTAGAGTACTGGGGCTTTTTATACACAAAAATTGCAGAGCAGACACAACATTGGCCAAATTGCGTAAGGTGGGGGACCAGGTGGGCCGGATGGTCCGCCGGGTTTCCAACAAGCGCGGGGGGTTACGATGCAAAGATGCCTTGCGGCTGGCGCATGCATTCGTAACCAGCCGAGTCCTGTACTCGGCTCCATACCTCCACCTACGCAAATCCGACGAGAATGCACTCGAAGTCATTCTCCGCAAAATCTACAAGCGTGCCCTCGACCTTCCTGTCAGCACCTCTAACCAGCGCCTTTTGGGCTTGGGAATGGTGAACACCTTCAAGGAGCTGAGAGAGGCGCACTTGACAAACCAATATACTAGACACTCTAAAACACCGTCGGGTCGCCGCCTCCTTGCCCGGCTACACATCAATCACTCAATACACACGGAAGAGCGCGTACGGATTCCAGAAGTTTGGCGATACTCCTTGCACGTGCGCCCTCTTCCGGCTAACATGACCCGAGACGACTACACTGGCCGACGCCTCGCGCGGGCGGAAGCCTTGGCTCGACACTACGGCCACAAATTCGGGGTATTCTACGTGGACGCCTCC